GGGGGGAAGCGGGGGGGAGCGCCCGGCCAGCTGACAGCCCAGACGCGTCTGGGCTGTCAGCTGGCCGCGCGTTCCGCCGCCGCTTTGCTTCCTCTCCCTGGTCTGCTCGAGACCAGGGAGAGGAAGTGCCCCGTTCGTAACTGCGGATCCGACATAAGTCGGATCCGCGTAACTCGGGGACTGCCTGTACTCTAAACACTTCCCTATTACTGCCTAGGGTTTGATCCTGTCCATTGCCTGTGGGGACTACTGAAAGGTCTTAAGTGATGAACACATAGGCAGTGCACTGAACCTGTATTTAAATCAAAGGGCTTTTTCCTGATGTGCTGTTTGACAAAGTAAAGACCAAGAAGGAAGTCCATAGCTAAGCATCTCATCTGTATGCTGAAGAATGCACTTGAGCATTCTTGACACACACACTCTTGACCTTACCCCCTTCTCTACCCAGCTCTCATGACTTGCTACCTCTCAGTACAGAGGTCTGTGTTTAACACTTGACTTCTACCTTTACTCTCACACACTGTGATGAATGGGATGGTACTACCCTTTCCTGGGCAGCCCGTCCATTCAGTTAATTCAATTGCCTATAAGTGTTTAGACCAGACACAGTGGGTCTCCAGGAAGTTTTAGCAGGGAGCCAAGAGAGCCAATGAAGAGTCTTTTATGCGAGTGCAGAGCCAGAGCTAGGAGAGATGAGTTGAGACAAGAGCAAGGCCTGGGATTGCCAGCAATGCCCATGATTATGAAGGACTAATCCTTGGAACAACGGATACATAATTGCATAGGGAATATTTAGACAGACACAACCAGGGTATTTTCTCAATTGCTTGGCTTGTGAACTCCTCCGTGCTGAGTCGCCATGACCCCACACAATGACTTTTTAACTGAACCCTGCGGAAGCAAGTCTCTGTATTTTTAATCTGTTTTTTTCAGTTGCTCTGTCACACCCAGCAACCAAGTGTGCTTTTCATCCCAGGAGGCATACCAGGGTGGTCGACAAATACCTTTGATGTCGGCAGGGGAGCGTCCAGACTATCGCGCTGAGCCGACAAACAGCTGATCAGCTGTTTGTTGGCTCAGC